AACAGAATCACTATCATCAGATGTCAGTATTAAGCCATGAATCTGATCAGGAAATTTAGGGGCAAATTCCCAGACTGGTATTCTCTATCTTCCAAATAAGCACAAAGCTTTCTTGTTTGTTAAAAGAAAATATAAGACAGTGAAATCTGTGTGATGGCTGTGTACAAATAATCACACGTACAAAAATGTTAAAGAGGGGAAGAATACCTACATGAAATCTAATGGGCAAATTAGGATATTGTAGTTAGAGAAATTCAGATGCAACTTAGTGTTGTAAGGAAGCACAAAGAGAACATCAAAATGCCTGATCACATCCCATCTGTTACTACCTCTTGCTGGATAACATCTCGCTGCCAAAAAAGCCATTTAAATTTACTACACTGCAGCTACCGTTATATATCACTTCTGTGAAGATCTATTACTAAATAAGAACTAGATTTGGAGATAAAGCTTACAAGCAGTTGTGTCAAATAGATCCAAATTTTGCTTAGTACAACACCTGTATTCTTACAAGCCTGCAGTTTCTTAGTGCCTGTCCTTCTTTGTGATATGTTTTTTAGCAGAGCTTACGACTGTACAAAATCCTCAAAAGCTGGATCATGTAAATGACAGAAAGATATAAAGCTGGAGTGACAAAAATGATTTTTTTAAGGGTAGTGGGAGGGGGGTGCAAGAGCAGAGGAAGGCTACCCCTCCGCAGCCTTGGAGGTGCTTACTGCCAGCGCTTTCCTCGCAGATCTGACGGGCACAGAATGGTGCCACAAAACTGCCTCCAGCAATGGAATACATTTTCCAGCACATCACAGGAGCTGCAGCGCATCACTTCTGCCTGCAATCCATGTCCAAACAGAAAAGTTCTCAGCGGTCCTATTTCAGCATATCTCAAGGACTAATTAAATCCTCATTACTATCTTCTAATTATTCCAGGGCTCTGGGATTTCACTGAGCAAGTCCCCAATGGTGCATTAGATGAAAAGGGTTAAATAACCTGTGTTGATTTTGAGACTCCAGATCTATTTCAGACCTTTAGCATATCATCAGCATTATCATGAATATTTAACTATGCACCGCTGTGAAAATTATAAGGGGAAAACAATTAAAGATTTTTTAAAAATTAATTCTGACCCATATACATTTGCACTAATAAATAAGGCTTCTTTAAGTATCCCCATTATGAGAGTGCTTGCGACAGTAATAACATCATTAACTGTTTCCATTAAGTTCAACGGTTTTCAGGAGGTCCCAATTTACTATTTTAATATAAATAAGAATTAAATTTGACGTGCACACATCCAGCCTGATCAGATGACAAATATTACTTAAAAGAAGGTAAGTTTTGTACGCTTTTCCTGCTTTATGGGAGGAACCATTCATTCCTGCAGGAGTGAAAGGGTCTATTTCAACATTATTGTGACATGCATTTTCCTTTTAGTGATCACATAGGTGAGTATTCACATCCGTGGACAGTCACAAAAGTAAGAGGAGGATATTGTATAAACTAATGGCTAGGGATAGAAGATTTTCACACTGCAGTTCAGGAAGCAGACTTAGGAGGTTAGCTTGGCTATGCCGAATTTATATCTAATCCATACAAATAACTTGGAACACACGGTGTGGTTTGGGCTACTGCATCCTCAAAGTGCAGCTTCCAAAACCCTGATAAGAGTAAGTAGATACCATTAAAAAAATGACTATGTACCTCAGTTATATGCAAAATGGGTATGACAGGCACGGTACCACTGCTTCACTATCTTTGAAGGCTGATGCAAATAGTTTGTTAAAAGCCTTAACTTCAAGAAACAAGAAAATCCCCAAACTGCATTTGGCCAGGGCAAAGAAAACTCTGGAGCAGCCATACGAGAAACAAAGAGCAAAACATGCCCCTCTACCCCTCAAAAGTACAGTAGGTTTCAGGGGCTAGTTCAATAGTCATGGCTCCATTTTTGTGTAAAATCCCCAGGTAATGGCAATTTGCAGGCACTCAGCAGCAGTTAAGTGCATGCACAGGTGAACCTGCAGGCCTACTCCTTATTTCCAAGTATAAGCACTTTCATAGACCTGTGCTATGTGACACAGGTTAGGCACAGAAAAATAACAAATGCTATTTTGTATTGCCTATTTAAAGGCAATAATATATTGATGAAACTGTAGAAGGTTCATTGACTGGATATGTAGCAATTAATTGCTTACTGACTCTGTATTGAGTACAGAAGTGGACTACATACAGTATCTTCCATTTATACTAAGCCAGATCCAAAAGTACCAAGATTTTCAAATTATTTTTATAAAGATAACTATTTTTAAGCTACCATGACACCAAGTATGAAGCAAGCTATATAAAAAGTAGGCTGAAGAGCACAGAAAATCCAGCCCCCTAAGAAACTCCTATTATTGTGCACACGTACATACGTTATCGCCTCCTCCTCCCACCCACAGAATGTACATATAAAAATATGCTCAGTGCTTCATACTGCTCTATATGACAGGGGATGTATAGCCTTAGGCTGGCAAACATGAGAAATCCCAGCTGGGTGCTGAGTAACCATGGAAAGTAGGATAAAATATAATCAAACACTTTCATAATAAAATAAATAAGTGTAAATGTAATGGTTCAGTGTAGCAGTTTAGCATCCAGAAGGACTACAGCTTAGTCCTCACCTGTCAATCAAGCTTCACAATATTTGATAAATAACATTTTCATTCAAGTACAGAGAGAAGAGGATTCTGCTCCAGAAACTATTAGTAGCCTTTTGTTCATTCAGTAATCTCTCCAAACAAGGAAAGAAACGTTATATGAAGCACTATAAAAAGCACTGCCTTATCCTGTGGAGGATGTCTTATTATTTTCTTTTCTCTTTTTTTGTATTTTCTTTTTCCTAGAAAGGATATCAGTAAGCCAAGTGTTTAAAATACTGTAACAGATGCCTGTGGATCAGGTGTCCTCAGCAGCAACGATTTTCTGCTCAGGTTTTTATCAGGGAAAGACAAGCACCTTCCCTTTGAGTTCCTATCACTCCCCCTCCTTCCCCTCTCCAAGTTCAGTGGGAGCCAGTTCAAGCAAGCAAAGGAACCGGCTAACGTAACAGCCCTATTAAAAGGTGAAATTTTCCATTTCAAAGGAGCCTCTAATCAATGGCAGGGCCGAAAGGGAACGCACGCATGTTTATGTGCGCAGAGCACAGGCTTTAGAGGAGCTTTGCGGAACACGATCTGCAAAATCAATATGACCAAGTTAGTTACAAATTTCGTATCTGCTGCATGAAACAAATGGACTTCTTATACAAGCTGGGGCGCAAGGATCATGCATGGAATATCAGAAGCCTCCATTTATAATAAAAACAAAACATTTAGCATATGAATAAGGCAAAATTGCTATAACGTTCCCAAACGCACCTCTTCCAAGAACAAACCCCACAAGTCTCATTGCTGTATTGCAAGAGCCAGGCCAAATACACCAGTAAATTTTTATTTCCTCACTGTTCTTGTTTTATTTTGCAGCTAGAGCAGTTGTGCCTCTTACTTTTGCATATCTCCCTACCTCCTCCAAACACCCACTGGAATTCAGCTTTCTCTAGAGCACCTTAACCTATCCCCCAGGACCTTATGAGGCACATATACTATCAAAATAATCATTACTGGGAAGTGCCTCATTTTGGGCCATGATACAATCGTGTCAGGCAATGAACATGTCTTTCTGAGATGCTTGGCTCTCCCAAATCTCACTCTGATCCACTCCTACCATCTTGTGACATTCTGCCCTACAAAACACGAAAAAGAGAGAGTCATCTTGGGTATTGAGGACACTTTTTTTTTTTTGGTCAGATATGTACATTATTCTAAACAGTTTTAAAGAAGAAAGTAAGTTCCTTTGCTAACAACTGTGTACAAAAATGACCTGAAAAAGAAAAACAAGAAATGAGTCATATAGAATTCTGTGTTTAATGTTCCCATTAATCAGCATTTGAAGAAGAGGTGGCATTCAACACAGAAAAAAATAGCAAAAACTAAGAATCTTTCCCCCTCTCTGTTAAGCCTCTTAGTTCCTTCTGGATGCTATCCCAGAAATTTGTCATTCTGTGAGCTCAACTTGTTTCACTGTGAGAAAACTTCTAGTATTTATGGTATCCCCATATGGTGCTACTTGAAATATTTTTGGTACCAAGACATTTTAGGAGGGGCATTTCATAAATAACTCCATGTTTATCACAGTTATCATGTGTCTGTTTTGAGAACTTGTTGCTGGCACATGTTAACTACTGCATGGACAGGATGCCTAGTTAACAGCAGTTTATCGTGCAGTCATGGAAAAAGGCCATGATAATTATACTTCTTGGGCTAGAGAGGAAGGAGGAAAAAAGGAAAGGTCCTAAACTTTATAAACAGTAACATTAAGAGAAAAAAAAATCTGTTTATTTTGGTGAGTGTTTGCTAGGAAACACCCTCTTAGGTCGGTGCTGTTGCCTGCAAAGTTTCCCCTTGTAAGATTTCCAAAGCTTTCAAATGTTTGACCTAAATAGCTGATTCATTTTAAGGATATTTTTATGTCTGGAATTGTCTAGGGGCCTAGCTGTCGTGTCCATGCAAAGACATCAGACACAAGGGAGTTTTGATAACAGTGGTAAAACTGCAGTGGCCATAGGTAGTACTTCTTCTACAGTACTGTCTGCAGATCTTGAACTCTGAGCTGGACAAGAAAAAAATAATTTTCTAGGATATGATTCAAATTTGTACAGCAAACTGCTTTTATAATTTGGGTAGTCACTGTAAGAGAGTAGTCAGTTTTAAGAGAGCCCTTATTTCCAATTATATTTTGGTAAAACCGGCTATTCAATTACACTTTCCCCAGAAAAGGAAACCCCCAGAGCCTTTTACAACACAAATTGTCATTATTTTCCCTGAGAGAAGAAAAGAAATAGCAGGAAATCTCACACTGCTAATGTGCAACTTAAAATGAAGGCTGCATTTGGCACCGACTAAAAAAGGCCCAACACCTAACAAACCTCGATCCTGTGGCATTGGTGACTGGCTCAAAGCAGGGTGGGAGCTGGATTCTGACTGGCTGCCAGGAGGCTGCGGTGGCATCTGACTGCCTGTAACACATAGAGAAAAAAGGGAAAACAGACTTGCTTTTAACATTGCAACGTTCCAAACCAAGCCTTGCTGCATTTCTGAACCACTTAACATCAAAGGAAGTACCAGCTGTATAAGTTAGAGCTCAACAGGTCTAGCTTTTCACAGGTTCTCTTTTTTTTTCTTTTTTTCCCTTTTTTGAAACCCACGGAGGAAGCATGCATAAACATATTTAGCAACAGGCATGGCGAAATGTTCAATTTCGTATTGAGCGAGTTCCCAACCTCACCGACATGATCCAATTTATAGCTGCAAATCTCCTGACACATATTTCTGTTAGAGAGTTTAACAAAATCCAAGTCTGCTGAACAATAGGGCTCATCCTGCCGAGCCTGAACTGGCCTCCAGCCAGGCAGACATGGACTGCTGCCAACTATATTACCAATGAAAAAATTCAGTCAATACAAAAATGACTAACAACAATGGCTTAAAAATATTTCAATGAATCAGTGGTTTAATGTTATTTGAATGTCCATGTAGAATATAGGCATAAAGAATAATATGTAGGTAAAGAATAATATGTGGTAAGTGAGGCATGTACGGAAGAGATCAGAGAGAGAAGGGGTACCTTCTTATCCAAATACAGGCAAAGGGAATATATTTCTTTATTAAAACAGTCATCCAGAGTAGACAGCCCCACTTTTATGGCTTTGTTCAGAAGACACCCACGCATTTTATGCATCCAAAAAAAGAGAAGAGCACAGAAAATGCTATCTCTGAGGCTCATGGCACTAAACCTTCCCTTTTACTATTACTAGTAAAGCAGGTGCTCGTCGCACTGATGAAAGAGGCCAGAAAGTCACTCCGTGCACTGCCCAGGATGGCGAAATGGCTCCCACAAGACCGAGATGTCTCCCGGGACTTCTGCTTGCTGCTGCGTTTGAGATACGTCTGCTTGTGACAGACGAAGCAGCTTGAAGACCACCTCAGGTTAGGCAGAAAATATATATTTTAGGAATTTAGACACTGTAGTGACAAGCACGGTATAAATAGCAGCAGACAGATTTATGTCCCTTATCCTCAGAAACTGCTCAGATTGTTTTCCATTTAAAAGAAATGGAAAGAATAAAAACACATGAAATAGATTTGTGCCTGCTGAGAATCATTTCCTCTTGCTTAGCTGCCACCCCTTTTTAATGGTTCAAGCTAAAACCCTGTGGTTATTTCTGGAGCTACAAGTACAGCCCAGGAGAGCCAGTAGGGGTTGCTCTTTCTTCAGAGCTGGTAAGCGCCCAAAGGCAACAACAACACCCTGAGGAGCAAAAAACAACCCGCCTCCTCGGCCTGTACCCCCGTGGGCGACCCCCCTGCACGCCGAATGTAACCAAAAAAGAGGTTATGGAAATAGCACCCGCAAAATGTAAAGCACAGTGCCTGACCGGTTGTTTGGCTGAGGCATTTATGCGCAAGAAGATGTGGTGCTCAACAGGGCCGCGAGCGTGTGGCTGTGACACACGCGTCCTGCGTCCCAGACGGGTGAGAGGCGGCGTTTCTCCTCCAAAAGCTGAGGCACCGCTCGGCGCCAGAGGCTCTGGGAGCCCGTGGAGGACCGTTGGGCTGTGACCCACGCAGGACCGTTGGGCGGTGGCCCCCACAGGCCCTCAGGGATGTGGCAGTGACAGGCAGGGCGCCTTATGTTTTGGTGTCAGGCAAGATGGGGCTGGAGCACAGCCGGTATCAACACTGCAACGAACGCTTCTGCAGTGCACTGGGCCTCTCTTGGGGAGACGTTAATATGGCATGGGAGATCTATGCTAGGCACCACATTTTGAATGTGCTTACACACAAATAACTATTTGCACATGATAACGGCTTCGACTTTCTGGCAGAAGCTTTATCCTGCACATGCAGATGTGCAAGTGCAGGCAGGAAAAGTTAAAACTCTACAACTGTAAAGCCACGGGGTGGTACAAACAAATCACCTTCATCGTCATCCATAGGGAAGATGAACGATACAAAACGTTTTTGAAAATTCACTGAAATCCTCAGCCTCTGTAAAAATTTACAGTGGCTTATTAAGTTTAGTTTAAGTTTAGTTTCGACTTTTTCTCCTTTATTAAAAGCAATTTTAAGAACAACAACTACCTATTTTTTCCATTTCACAAAAGAAAACAGCTCTGTAGATGAGCAGACCACCACTGAGCGTATTCAGACAAGTCCCTAACTCACAGCACAGCACCCCTTCTGCTGATTATTGCTAGCAGCTGCATGTTATGCAGGCACTGGACATACAAGGCATTGCACAAAAATACCTTGAGTTGTCATTTTATACTTTAAAGGCGTGTGAAAGCTAAAAGAGTTAAAAGAGTTACAAAGCTTACAAGACTCGAACTGGGCACCTAACATCTCTTGATGGGGAAATGATGACAGTATTTCTACAGGCCTTTGAAGAGTCTGTCCTTCACACTTTTTAGGCATCTTTGTCATCTTAAAGACCATTCATTTCTCTCCTTTAAATAATATGAATCCTCCTCTCTTAAAATAAGTTCTTTAGTTGTTAACCATTTTTGATAATACGTTATTTTTGTATGTCAGTATGGAAGGAAATTTTCCATGAAGGCATTCTGCCTCTGAGTTTTTTAAACATGATTTTTATAGATATTTTGGAGCAAAAGTAAGCTCCTCTCCTCTCCTTTCCTCTCGACTCCTTTGATCCAGTGATACACAAATAGGAGTTTAGGTATGAGGACCTTTTGCCATTCTTTACATAATACTGTGGTGAGATATTACATCTACCAACACTTATGCATAGTGAACACCATGGATATTTCACAATGTTTTAATTATGCAAAATCACAAATAGCATAATGTGTGTTAAAAGGACAGATGCTGCCATACTACTTCTCTTACCTAGATTTAACAGAGGAACAAGAAATACCATTCTAATCAGGAATATTATACAGGCTAGTGTGAAAAGCAAAGCACAAAATTATTGTAAGGAGTGTGCGGTGGGTATAGACACAGTAAATTATATTAAAATTCATATAGGTATCTTCTAATATTTGTTAAAAACTACCAAACCTTTCTGTTAAATGTTTTTTAGAAAAAAAGTGAAGTCAGTTGAAGAAGTGAAAGAACTTCACACAATTTTAAGATGGTTTTCTATGTTTTAATTATGGTAGAAATGCTTTTTAAACGTTACACATGCAACTTCAAAGATTTATGCTTAAAATGGAAGAGTCTGCACTGCTTCTTGGGGAAAGGTGGATTGAACAGAGTTGGCACATGCCTTTTGCATTGAAAAGGTGCTAAATGGTGATTGCATTATTACTATAACTAAGAAATCTGCAGTTGAAGTGTAAAAAGTAAATTCCTTAGAGCCAAC